TTATTATTATTACTATTGTTATTGTTATTACGTTTCAGCACACGTCTACTGTACATACGCCCTCTCCTGGCGAGCAGATAACCGATGATTCTCTTTGTTCCTATCTGAATTAACCCCTGCTCTACCAGGCTTGAAATAGGGTCCTATGTTCAAAACAGGGGTCCAAGCAGGCCTGGCCTAAAAGGGTTAATTGTAATACTCAAAGTGACAAGGTCACTGTGGCCGTATTGTCAGGTTCAAAGGTCATGGTGGCAAAGCTGATAACGATTTGTTTCCGTCCAAAGTTACAGGATAGTAGCCAAACTGTTTTGTTAGCTTTGGTACAGATATCAAATGCCATTTCTAATTTATATACAATATTTTTTTTTAATTTGGTGTGGGTTTTTGTTGTTGTTGATTGTTTGTGTTTTTAAAAGGACTTTTGTTTGTTTGTTGTTGGGTTTTTTTGTTTTTTGTTGTTGGGTTTTTTGTGTGTTTTTTTTGTGTTTTTTTGGTTTTGGAAGGATTCTAGCACCTTTCATTGAAACGCCATGTGTGAATGTTTTATTGTACAAAGATTTGAGATTTGTGCCTTGTTCTACACGACCATAACAACTATGCAAAATAACGTTTGCTGTGACGTTTCTATCAATACTGGAACTTGATTTGAAGATTTTTATTTTCCATGTTTGTGGATGTTTTGTTTTTTTAAACTTGGTCGACACTAATCTTGTGTTGCACAACCCACAAAAATGCTTTAAAATTCCGATCATTTCATCTTTTTATCGCCTCACCTTCTCATCGTCACCGAAATGGAACGGACCAATTTATCTTGTTTTTTTCCCCTGAAAATGTTTATTTTTCTCTTTGGTTTATGACGTCATACATGACTTGATGTGCTGTCCTCGGATAAATCTTGTTTTACTGTTATCTGAACGACAGCATATCCAAATATAACCTAAGTTATTTTTTTGCCAATTTTATCGTTTACTAGTCTCTCTACATGCTTGATGATCTTGTTCTGTTTGACAGACCCCTGTACAAAAACATCCATCTTTTACTAGCTCTAGCAATATCTCGATTTGTTAACATTGACCTTTGTTGTTTCTCCTAACCACCCCAACCCCATACACAAACACCCCCAAAAGCCCCCTCCCCTC